GGTCTCTGAGTGGCTCTTTTTTTCAATTGCCTGTGGCCCCTTGCTCCTGTGTGGGACATGGGAACCCTGTTAGTGGTCTAGCTGGCCTGGGGGCCATCAAGGCCCTCTTCTCCCCTGCAGCCGCTGAACAACTTCATACAAAGGGCACAGTAGTGGCTTTTTCCTGCTCTTGCTCCATGTGCTCACCAGGGCCAGCCTTGAAGCAACCGGGGCTCAAAACAGTTGGAGTGGTCCTTTCTTTCTCTCATTGTGGCTTCTTCCACCTTCATGAACTCCGTAGGTTTCTTTTCTTCTCCTGAACTCTAGCGACCTCAGTTTAGCAGTTATTGCTTTTTAATAGTTGTAGATTGGTTGGTTGTGGGAGAGAGTGATATTGGGTACAGTCTATTCTGTCATCTTGACTGGAAGTCCTCCCCTCTGGAAAAATCTTAGGGACCCCTGCCAAGAGCCACAGAACCACATTTGGAAAACCACTATTCTAGTACTCATATGGTTTCATCTTTTATATTTTAATCTTCAATCCTTCTGGAATTTTAAACTCTAAACTGTATAATAGGGATACAAGTTAATATTTTTTTGTAGATGGCTACAAGTAACTACTTGAACAGTTACACATCTTTTCATTACTGATTAGCAGGCTGACCAGTCTTAAAACCTTCCTTTAGTGGGAAGATGACCTTGAGTTTACCTTCTCTTTGCACTGTTTCTCTGGTTAATATAAACATGGAATGTCAGCTCTGTTAAAAGGCAACATCACTTTTTGCAGAATAATCCTTGAATGGTACTGCATCTGAATAGGGAAGAATTTGAAATGAACTATAAATTTCTGTTTGGAAAAACAGACCTTGGCATCCTTGTATGCATGCAGTTTGACTTGAGTAGGGACCAGAAAGCTACATTACAGACTATTACAAGACTGATTCCTGTGGCTCGTGAAGCTTACCTAAGCTAGACCGTGTGGTCTTGTTTACTTAAAACAGAGCTGTCACTTGGGGAACTAGAAAATGGCTCCTGGCTATCTGTAGGGATCACTGCTGAAGACAGCATCCATGAAGCTGCTATACTGGCATACTGTGTTTCCTGTAAATCCTGCAAAATTAAATGAACCTGCTTTCAGGCTATAATCTATTTGATCCTGTGAGTGTGAAGGTCATTCTATATCTGAGACCTCTACTGGTAGTCATGCAAAGTGGGCTTTGCAATTATAAACCAAATTCCCACATATTTGGGTTTTTGTATGGGTTGCGTTTTTTTCCCCCTGTCCATTTACTAGTGTCATAATTTTTTAATTGGGACTTTATTATATTTTTTAATATGATAAGCCCGATCTCTTCTCATTAATCTTTATTTTAAAACTATTTTTCTTGACTATTCTTTGATTTTTCTACTTGAATTTTAAAATTATATTTTCTTTGATTTTAATAACTTTTTCAAAAGAGTTTATGTTTTTTGTCTTATCACTCAAAATACCATCTGGATAGTTGGACAGATGCTTTTTGCCATTTTGGAGCAGGTGTCTTTTTGCAAAAATTGAGCTGTTTTATTATAAATTATTTCCTCACTTTCCTCTGTCCCAACCTAGGCAACTGGCCAGTGCTCTGTTTTTCCAGCCTTCTGTTGCTGCTAAGTCAGCTCTCTGTATGCCAGGCTGTTCCTTTTTATATGCCTTTTAGTCATACAGGACAGCAACAGGGAATGCAGTAAAAGCAGTATCTTTTATAGTGTTGCTTTGGCTTTTTTTTTTACCTTTTTGTCTTTTTTACTGACCGGTAACGGGATCGTAACCCTCGGTGTCGTGCCCGTACCGGGGACCGGCAACGGGATCACAACCCTCAGTGTTGCGCCCGCACCGCGCTCAGCCAGTGAACGGGAACCGGTCTCCACATGGGATCCGAACCCTTGGCGGGAGCACCACTGCGCTGCCAAGCGGCACACTCTCCAGTGCGCCACCGGGCCGGCCCATTGCTTTGGCTTTTTGATACTGGATTTAAACTTTTATGTTTCAACCAGTACCATTATTTGTCTTTTTGTTTCTCAGAAACAGAGACCATAATATATTTGAATATTAAGTATCAAGAGAGCTTCTAGTACAGTTATATTGGAAGCAGCTACTGTAATTACTTAAGTAATAAGGCTTACCTTTTAGGGAGCAGATTTAGGAAAGAGCAGTATGGCTTTAAAGATGGTATGAAGCCAGAATGTTGGCATCCCTTCCTTTTTTTTTTTTTTTTTTTTTCTTTTTTTGGTGGCAGGCAGGTATGGGGATCCAGTTGGCATCCCTTCTTATCATTAACTCTTGTGTGCTATAGATTCTTCTGAATGGCAGATTTAGTATTTACTCTAATGTTTGCTTTTTGAAGATCAGCATTGAAGAAAGCATAATAAAATAACTGTCTTTGATATTCTGTAATTCTTGTTGTGATCTAGATGTTACTTTCAGAACTGAGAATTAAACTAGTTCACAAAAAGGATGGTAAGTGAGCAGCTCTCTGGGATTTCTGCTCTACATTAACATCTATGATGTTTTCTGGTCATTCTGTACTTGTTTCAGTCCTCTACGGCACTGTTTAGTATAGTAGGCAGTAGCCACATGTGGCTGTTTAAATTTAAATTTATAAAAATTAGATAAAATTTAAAAAATCAGTTCCTTACTTTTCCAAGTTACATTTACACTACTGAGTTGTCACTCATGACTAGTGGCTACAGTATTAGTGCAGAATGAACATTTCCATCATTGCAGGAAGTTTCATGAGACAGTGCTACTCAAATCTGGCCTTCCCTCTTAAAATGAACTTGTCTTCAACTTCAGAAAGAAGATTGATGCTGTTGTGCTTTATTCATGTTTTTCCTGGCTTAGAATAATATTGGTCTTTTCTCATTTATAAGTTTTATACCTTTGTTTTGATTCCCTTAGGACTTTTATTTTATTTATTTCTTCTCTCTCTAGTATCTTCATTTCTGTGAAGTTAGATCAGAGATAGAAAAGCCATAGATGTAGGTGAACTGGCTGGCTTCCCTTAGGTGTAGGGCATTTCATAGTGACATTCCTTTGGAGGTGTTCATCATTAATTATCTGTCCTGTCTTCAGCTTTCTATATTGTGAAGCCAGTTTAGTTTCAGAGCAGATATGTTCAGTTTTTATCAGGTTTAGGGGGATAGAGTCATGCTACTCAAAGTCACTATAGTAAACTTATGAGACTGATATACACACCAGGATGTTATATTACTTATTAGTAATAAAAATAACTGACAGAAAGACCACATATTATTTTCAACTGGTCTACATATCTTCTCGTTGTAGATTATTTAGATTATAATCAAAGGGCTTCTGGGTACACATGGGACCTGAATGAAGGGACATAATTAGATTAACTTAATGTCCTATATCTTTGAGAATCTTGCAAATCAACTTCTATCTTAAGTTCTGTCAGGTGGACCCAATATCAGGTAGGCTAATATTGTTTCTTGGAAATGCTCTTTGCCACATCTTCCCCCACCTTTTCTAGCCTTCCTGAGAAACATTTCCCTTCTATTGACACTTAAAAAAAAAAATTCAGAGAAATTACAATTAAATTGACATAAGGGCCAGTTTTCTTTTACATTGTCAGTCCCATTTCGGTCATGCCAGGCACAGGCTGAGAGACCATCTCTGTTTTATGAGTTTTTTTGCCCAAAGAATTAACCATATTTTTAACTTTTAGGCACCCTAAAGTGTACTACCCTCTGTGTACTGATTACAGATTTTGTTTCTCTTGTTCTATGGCACATTTCTTTTCTTTTTTTTTTTTTTTTGACTGGTAAGGGGATCGCAACCCTTGGCTTGGTGCCGTCTCACCATGCTCAGCCAGTGAGCACACTGGCCATCCCTATATAGGATCTGAACCCGCAGCCTTGGCGCTATCAGCGCCACACCCTCCCAAGTGAGCCACGGGGCTGGCCCCCTATGGCACATTTCTAAGATGGTTTTCTTACTCTTTGACTCCCAAATCTACACCTCTACAAATGATCTGTTTTCCACAGTATAGTCTCACTCTTTGAATTACAGAAATATTTAAATACACAGATATTTCTTTCTTTTTTTTTTTTTTTTTTTTCCTTTTTTGAGACCAGTCCTACCGCACTCAGCCAGTGAGCGCCGTGAGTGCCCCGGTCATCCCTATATAGGATCCAAACCCGCGGTGGGAGCGCTGCTGCACTCGCAGCGCCGCACTCTCCCAAGTGCGCCACGGGCTCGGCCCTAAATACACAGGTATTTCAATTGAGGTATTTTCTGTCAATTTCTCAAATCAAAAATAATAAAACTGAAGTTCTATCATGTTCTCTCATCCCCAACAGAAGAAACCCTCAGCACTATATAACATTTTCTTTCAATCTCTTTTGTCATTATTTAATCGCTCTTACATTTATATAAGCTCTCCTTCTCCCTGCAGTTTTTTTTAGTCGTCTTGCTTTTTTCACATTATTTCTTTTCAGTTCTGTCTGGCCTACTTCAGTAATCTCCAAATTCTCCTCATCTAAACTACCCTATTTTGTCTTTCCTCTCTGAACAGGAAATTTGACTAATGTATCTTTGTATCTGGAACAGATAGTCATCGTTTTGTAATAGTACAGTTGGCCCTCCATATCCAGGGGTTCCATATCTATAGGTTCCCCATCGTGGATTAAACCAACACAGATCGAAAATATTTGGGAAAAAAAATACAACAATAAAAAAAATACAGATTTTAAATACAATACAGTATAACAACTATTTACATAACATTTACATTGTATTAGGTATTATAAGTAATCTAGATGATTTTAAGTATATGAGAGGGTTATATGCAAATACTGTGCCATTATATATAGGGGACTTCTGCATCTGTGGATTTTGGGGGGGTGTGTGTCCTGGAACCAATCCCTTGTATAATCTTATTTTATTAGTTATTTAATGCAGTGAGCTATCTGAGTTGTTATATTTTAGTCATTTAGAGTATTTATGTGAACTCCTTATTTTTTAGTGTGATGAACAAGTCTGGGGTGAATCGTGTAGTTTGGAAACGACCTCGGCTCACTCACAATGGACCTGTTAGAAGGAGCACAGTTATTGACCAGATTCCTTTTCTGGCAGTAGCAAGAGCACTTGGTAAGTAGGACTTATATTTGCTGAAATCATATTGATTTTTCTACAATATGTGGTGTTAAAATAAAAGAGGAAACTGAGAATTAAACACTTACTTGGCATATGGTGAAGGTAGAGATATGATATTACATTTAATGCTTTAATACCTAATTGAGTGGAAGGTTAAGGTATGTATTTCAGTGTCAATTGCTCTTTGATCATGAGTCATTTGATTTGGGGGGCGGGGGATGTCCAGCATACATTCTTTGTTCCTACTCAATAATACTCTGGTTTTCTTCTGGGAAATCTTGTTTCTCTTACTATGTGCAGTCTCAATTTAAACATTCCTATTCAGGGTTCTTTTACAAAACATGTAAATTGTCAGGCACGTGACCCCAGCTAGGCCAATTAGACTCTCTATACTAGGATTTTGACTCTAGTAAGGACCAAAAAAAAAAAATTGTAATGAATTCATCCTAGTGACATTGGCCTCCTTTGGCAGTGTCCCATTGAAGTGGTTGGGTTTTCTTTCCTGGTTGCTTGGAGCTGTCTTTTCTGTACCTGGCTCTCCAGCTTCTTCTGTATTCTGCGAGCTACTTGATTTTCTTCTAAGTTGCCTCCTTGGACTAAGTTAATCTGAACTGGAAATTGTTGTTTGCAAGCAAAGAATCCAACATAGGAAGGAAAGGGCTTGGTGTCCTTCAAGAAGAGGAATCAAGCCAGTGTGAGAGAAGGGGGTAAAGATATAAAATCAGGGCAGAGATGAAGACCTTTACCAGATTTAGAAGGAATATGGCAGGTCAAAGTACAGAATTTGGTGAGGACATTATAGCTGGTCAGGAACTAAATCCTACAAGGTCTTCTACAGCATGATAAAAAATTCAGTTTTTATTTTAAACGTTTTTGGGAAGAGATTGAAATGTGAGGAAGTGTATCATAGTGGATAGGAGAGGGACTTTGGAGCCAAAATGCTTAGGTTTCAATTCCAGTGCTGCTATTTATTGTGTAAACTTGGGCAAATTACTTAATATTTTGTGACACAGTTTTTTCATCTGTAAAATGGGGCCTAATGATACTGTTCTAGTCTGTTTGGTGCTGTTATAACAGAATAACTGAGATTGGGTAATTTATAATGAACAGAAATTCATTGGCTTTTTGAGGCTAGAAAGTTTGATATCAAGGTGCTGGCATCTGTGGGGACTTCTTGTGGCATCACCACATGACATCACATCACGGGGGAGAGAGAAAGAGAATGAGAGGGTGAGCGCCTGCGCACATGCAAACAAGCAAGAGGGGGCTGAACTCACCCTTTTATGGCCTAATCACCTCTTAAAGGTCCCACCTCTTAATACTGTTAAAATGGCAATTAAATTTCTTTTTTTTTTTTTTTTTCCTTTTTGTCTTTTTTTACTTACCGGTAACGGGATCGCAACCCTTGGTGTCGCGCCTGCACTGGGGACCGGCGATGGGATCGCAATCCTCGGTGTTGTGCCCACACCGCGCTCAGCCAGTGAGCGGGAACCGGTTTCCACATGGGATCCGAACCCTCGGCGGGAGCGCCTCTGCACTCCCAAACTGCGTACTCTCCAGTGCGCCACCGGGCCGGCCCGGCAATTAAATTTCAATAAGAGTTTTGGAGGGGACAAATATTCAAACCATAGGAGGTATCTACTTCATTCTGTTGTGAGTACTGGATGACTTAATGCAGGTAAAGTGGTTAGAATAGTACTTGGCACATAGTAGGTGCTCTACAAATGTTAGTTGTTATTATATTTATTGGAGTAGGGTAGTGACATGATAGAGTTTGTTCTCACAGAATCATTTTGGTTGTTATATAGCTATGATTGTAAGGAAATAAAATTGGAGGCAAAGATATCATGTAGGGGCCTGTTGAAATATTCTAGGCACTTTACATATTTTATAGATTTTTTTTTTTTACAGAACCAGAAGGCTAAGTTATCCAGGTTATTCATTCATAGTGTAAGCATGTGATACAATTGATCTTCCAGTTGTTAGCATGGAAACAGAGGGGAAGATGTTGGCTACTGCTTACATTTCAGGTGAATGATCACTGTCAGATTGCCTACTATCATTTTGTAATATTAGTGAACTTTGAAAGGGGGCATGAGAGGCAAGGAATTAAAATTACTAAAGAAAAGAGGGTTAGTTTATGGGGAAGTCATTGGACTGAGGGCAGGATCTTAATTCAGGTTCGAAAGTAAGATGAACCTTCAATTTAGAAAGGTAGATGCCAAGTTATTTTGTATATATACGTGTATGTGCAAAGCATTTCAAGTAAGCCTTGAAACCCTTAAGTGATTGTATAGAGGAAGAAAAGAAAGACTGATAGAGAGGTAGCAGGAAAATTGCCTGTTTTTTTCTGGTACAGAAATTCCTATTCAGTCCAGTGGTACTCTGTGGAGTAATTTAGATAAGTAATTCAACCCCTGCTTGAATATATTCAGTAGTCTTTACTTAAACTCTTACATTATTGAACAACTCTAATTGTTATTTTATTGTGAGTTAAAAATCTGCCTCCACGAGTCTTTCAGATGTTGGTCCTAGTTTTGTGTGCTAAAATAAACAGGGCAGTGTACGTATTTAAACCATGTTGTATAATGACAGTCATTTATTCAAAATTGGTTAACATGTTTCTGTGGTCTTTCTTTTAGGCTAAAGTGCCAATTTCAGATGCTTCATTATACTGGTCATGTCTCTCTAGATGTTTCCTTCAATGAATGTGGTTCTGGAATTGAGGACACTCATAAGGTGTGGTTTGACCAGTTTAAAGTACAATAGGAATATTTAGTTTCTGCTACCTGAGCATTGTACTTCTACTAGTGGAGGTACTGGAATCCCGTCATTAGATTTTAATAGTCATATCACATTGTTGGCTAATTAAGCTCAGGTCTCCAGATATTTTTCTTATGAACTGTACCACATTGTTTCTCTATTACAAACCCTGTTGGTTTTTATTGGGGTGGTGTGAGAGTGAGGAGATAGAGATTGGATAATACCTGTAGCAGCACAAGATGAGTTTCTTGCAGAATAACTTTTGTATTGATTGATAGATTGGTGTGTATTTGGAGGGAGCGCTCTTGATTATTGTGGTGCTGTTTCTTCCCTAGCTTGTTTCACATTTGTTAACTACCTAGAGAAAGAGAGTGTATAAACCTCAATTTTGTATGTTGCACAAATATTCTTAAGTTCTTGGGCAGCAGGATATTAACTTGGTCTTAAAGTGTCTCTGAACAGACTGCTTTTTAGTTGGAAGAAAGAAAAAGTAGTAATTAAGCAGTAGAGAAATCAGGCAACACGTTGACTGGATGATCAAAATTAACCTCATTAATGAGGGATAGTTGGACATTGTGTACTTCCAGATGTATGGTACACTAAGGACACAATATCACCTATGTAGTATTCTAGCCAAGAATATATAACCTCAATCCAAATTAAAGGAGGTTAAAGAAATGTTACAAGTAAATACTATCTCTGACCCGAGACTGGATCCTATAAAGGACATTATTAGGCTATCTGATAATTTGGAATATGGATGATAGATAGTAGATTAGTTAAGTGTTGTATCAATGAAAGTTTATGAAGCTGATAACTGTGCTATGGTTATATAAGAGAATATCTTTATTCTTAGAAAATACGCATTGAAGTATTTAGGGCTAAAGGGCCATGATTAAAAATATGATATAATTTGTGTACACACACAGAGAGAATGTTTATATATGTAGGTAGAGAAAATGATAAAGCAGGTCGGGTAAGATGTTAATGATAGTTAAATCTAAGGGAGGAGTATATGGGTATTTATTTTATTTTCGTAAATTTTTATATATTTGAAATTATTTCAAATAAAGTGTTTTAAAAGGTAGATAGGCTGACATAATATGAAAGTTAATAGGATTAAATATAAGGTACTAGGCTTAAGTACAGAACATTAACAATGTTTGGAAGATATTTGCTTTCTTAGCAGTATTTCATATAAAAAAGAACTAGGGATTTTTTTTAGTTGATTAGTCACGAGCATATTATAATCCAAACAGTGTTAAGTATAACTTGGCTATAAAAAATAATGCAGTCTTAGAACTCAGTAATAGTAGAATATTAAGAATAAGGAAGTGGTTATATCACAATATTCTATACTTAAAAATATATCCAGAGGTAAATACCGCATGTGCTCACTCATATGTGGGAGCTAAGAGAGAAAGGAAGGAAGGAAAGGAAGACCACAGTAGTGCGTTGGTCTTACAGAGGGAGGGGACATTCCTAGGGCTGCAAAGCAGAGTGCGGCGGGGAGGGGGAAGATGGTTGGGGGACAATTGGGTGGAGACACGGGGTATAAAAGCAATTTATGGTAACTTGTATCTCATGAATATTCATCATCACCATCATAATAATTAATAATATATATAGCCAGAGGAAGGTTTCCAAGTTGAAGATGGTTCTAAAATCATATTGTAGGAGGAAGGAAAAACAAATTGAATGTTTTTTTGTGTGTGCCAGTTACTGTAGGTAGAGGTGCTTTACATGTTATTTCATTTTTACACTTTATAAAATAGTGGTGGGAAGGTAGGAATTATTTCCAGGTTTTCAGTTAAGAAACTTCCTTAGCAGATCTTCTGAATTGACTAAGTCCATATTGTTGGCATTTGATTACAGCTTTGTTCGACTTAAGAATATAAACTCTATTATTTCATGCTGCCATTCTCCTAAACTGACACAGGATAATTTGGAAGGATTAAGCGTGGAATAGAAATATTGAGGACACTTGTAGCTGGCTTAATATTTGTGAAGATCTATTATCTCAAAGAGGAATTAGCCTGATTTTTTAAAAAGAAAATAGCATTAGAAAACTGTAAAAAAGAGAAGCAGATTTTAGCTTATTAAAACACAATTATTCCAGCTGACAGAAATGATTCTTTTGTGAACTGTAGTTAGTGAGCTTTCCCTTCACTAAAAGTGTTCAAGAAGCTAAATGGCTACCCATTGTGGTTAGCAGGGATTTCTTCTACATT